AGATGGTTTTGTCTTTACGATGATAACTGTACCAAAACACTGTTGTTCACCTATTGTTTACACCGCCCGCTTTGCTTGCAGACGGGTCTGTGTGGGGTTCGGCACGAGAAATAAGCCAGACTGCTCGCACACATCCTGCGGGCTTCCCCGGAGAAGGTGGCGAAAGACACTGAAATAGCGCGAAAGAGAGACTGCTGTTTGGTTACAAGGCCGCCCAATCTCATGCGAAGAGGCCTAAAACAATGATGATCAATTCATCTTTCGAAGATCATTCGACGAAGATCACGAACCCAGCAGCTTTATCAACTGTCGACTCACACAAGTGGTCGAGAAAACAATCTTAGATGAACCAAAATTTACTCTTCTTTTCTCTCATTTTCAGTTTGCCATTTAATCAAAATTATATGTTTTTTTTTTGAGGATCTTTCACATCATTCTTCCTCAATTAGCCCATCCTTAACCATTTACACCCTAACATCAGTATGCATATTCTCCTTACCAGTCTGTATAGAATTCCTGAGGTGTTGACAAGGAGAATTTAACAGTCAAGAGCTTGTTAAGTTAGGGATTATTTCCTTTCATCTCGTGACTTAGATGTGTCATTCAGGGGTGTTGTAGGGAGAAATTAGATGCTAGTCACTTAAGGGATGAAAGAGGTCAATTTGTAATAACGTATACAAATTTTAGCAAAATATCCAGTTACGACTTCTTTACATTGTGAGTCGCCCGAAGATGAAGATTTCTGTTTTGCAAAAGCACAAGGAACGATTCAGCAAATATTGATAAACCTGATGGACAATTAACTACAAATGAAACAATCTTCTCAGCACCAGATTAATTATTTAGCCAAAAAGTAATAAACTGTGACACATGCCGAATGTTGACTTCCCTCTTTATAGTTTGTTTAAAACTTATTTCCCTTTTGCTAGTATCAATGTTATATCTGGGAACAAAAATACCGAGGGGCCATGCGTTTCTTATCTAAGTTTCTCGCACTTATGTTCATATTCCTACAATCAGGAAGAAGTGAAATAATTAAGAGGTCGGTGTTTTTTAACACAAATGAGAATGTCAGACTTGATTCAAGCGAGATAATCAGCCGCCAAACAAGCCGAGGTGCACTATCTTGTTCGCAAAAATGTTTATCAGAGCCGCTTTGCTCTGTATTCAATTACGGCTCTACTTCAGCGAGTCAGGGAATCTGTGAATTATATAAAACATCCAGCGATGGTATGAAACTAATCCACGAATCAGGATGGCTGTGCGGACATCTTCACGGACCCAGGAAAATGTTCAAAGGTGAGGTAGCCTACTGATGATATCAGCTAAACATTTAACACTTTGACTCCTGAGAGTGATTAGCATTTTATTTCTCCTTACAATATCACCCCTGAATCACACATTAAGGTCAGGAGAATAAACGAAATGATCACCAACAAAAGGAGTTCTTGATTGTTAAGTAAATTCTCCTTTTCAGCACCTAAGGAAATGTATAGAGAACAGTATGGAGAATATGCATACTGAATTTTTTTTTTTACTGATGGTAGGGTGTACAAGGTGAAATTACCTGAACGGGAAAGTGTTTTGAATAATGAAGAGTTAAAATTACTGCGGCTGCCAAAAGTTTTCTAAATTAAGGGAATCATTTGCAATAAAAAGGAGTAACCACGGTTTAAATTCATATTTACGCTGAAAATAATCCGGGTTTTTGTTTTTAAAGGTTTAACACTGGAATCCAAGAGCTAATCTTCTCAAAATAATTTTTTACTTAAATGTGACTATGACAACTGTTCATGCGAAAGCATTTTTCACTCTTGAAAGATCACTTTCTCGTGCACGACTGCATGCGCGACCAACGTTTTTATCACGTAGGAGATCTTTCCTTCTAAACGCGATATTTGCTTTGTAAGGATCGCTAGATGGAGGAGAAAAGTCAACAAAATTTTGGTCGTTTGATTATTGTGATATCAGGAAAAAAAAATCCAGATATTGTCAACTAAAGCAACCATGCCAACTCATTTGCTTTCAACGAATACCGTGTTTCCTTTCGTTTCTTGCTCACAAAATTCTTCCGAGACAGCCTTGTGATCAGTGAATCATTCTTATGATCACAGAAACTCGTTCTGTAATCTTAAGACCTGTGCAATTGCGTGTGACGTCTTCCCTCTCTAATAAAACTCTAAAAAGATTGAATTTTGTCACCAACAGCTCCTACCGAATGTAAAACTTGGCGAACCAAAGATGGAGGTTGCTGTGTATTTCCATTCCTTTACCACGGTAAAAATCGGGACTCGTGCGTAATTGACAAGAGGTTCGGACTGTGGTGCTCCACCACCAGTAATTATGATGTTGACAAGAGGCGTAGTGTGTGCGAGGGTAAGTTTCACTTCAATACAGTACTCCTACAATTCAACACTCTTAAGCTGCTTATCTGATGTCTTGCGCGGCGTCGCCTACTCCACGCAGACACACCCTATAGTTGTGGTAATGCCATTCACATGCCCTGAGTACGAAAGAAACGAGTCGTGGGCCACTTATGCCTTTTGTCCTGCAGTGCTAAATTGTACCCATCATCACTAACCACAGTTTTTGGAGTTGCTGATAGGTGCAGAGTGCAAAATCCAGAGACCTTACAAGTATTTCCTTCTTACCGGGTTATCAAATGGAGAAGACTGCTAGAATAAAACATTACACCAAGTGCGTCACTCCTGTTGTCAAATTTGTTCAACATGTCAATTCTGAGGGACATAAATCAATCTGTAGGGTCTTCGTTCCCGTACTGAAGTAGATGGTTTAACTGACAAAAACATAAACCGTTCTGAAAGTAATAACTGATCTCTGATGGTATACCACAGGATTTTCTGATCTATGCTTTTACTTACTCTTAGATTTCAAATTTACATTCACAACCCTTGGTGCAGTGGGTCGCACGGGGCCTACAGATTCATCCGGGTATAAAGGAAAAACATTACAAGGGCAGGTTAAGATTGAAAACGGCATCCAATTATGGACTGTACCGTTAAGTGGATCTTACTTCATAGAGGCCTGGGGAGCATCTGGAGCTGACGGCCGCGAATCAGCTGACGTGTCAGCAGCCACAAGAGCAGGAGGGAAAGGCGCTTATGTAAAAGGAACTTTCAATCTCACTCTTGGAAAAGAACTCAAAATTCTTGTTGGACAAACTGGTAGCAGAGGAAAATTTGGTAGACCGTTACCGGGAGGGGGAGGAGGGGGAACATTTATCACTTCTTCAGCAGACGCTCCCTTGATTATTGCTGGTGGAGGGGGAGGGGGTGTTGCGCAGCCAGGAAATTTCCATAAAGGAGATCCAGGCCAGACCTCACAAAATGGATCACGGGCCGGGGGTTCAAACGGATCTGGCGGAAACCTATACGAGCAGGGCTCGCCGTCAGCCTCGTTTGAATGCGGGGCGGGTGGCCATGGAGGATTTGGGGGAGGTGGAGCAGCATTTCTGTATCCCGGGGCAGGGGGTGGGTACTCGGGCGGGGGCGTTGTGAAAAATAAGGAAGAAACCAACGCTGGCGGCGGAGGGTCTTTTAACTCCGGAGCTAAATCGGAAAAGGAAGAAGGGTTGGTAGAAGGAGATGGTAAGGTCATCATTACACTTCTGGAGGCTGATAAGGAATTTGTTTAGGAGCATTACAATGCTACCGTACAAAGAGAAACATCGAAAGCTTCAACTAAAAATAAACACGCACATAAAAAAACAAACAAACAAAAAAAAAAATTCTGCGACTTCATGCTAGTTGCAACCTGTGAGGTTTTTCTGCTATTTTTAAGTTTGACCTGACAACGAAGCTGCACTTTAATTACGAATTGGGGGTGCATAGGGCAGGGTAATTAATGGGAAATATTTTTCTCTTGTTAACGGTTCTCACAAGAACATTTCAGGTGCTTGTCAACTGCACTGCTGTAAAAGAATAAAAGAGTCAAAAGGCTCTAGAGGGTATCGTCCTAAAGTTGAAAAAGTTGAGCTGTATCGTCTTTTTTTTCTCATTATGAATAAACACTCTTTGCGCCGATTCTTAACACCCTTTGAAAGAAGTCTATCTTGGTGAGAACATTCTCCTGGTTGTTTGATTTGATTTCTCCCTGCAAGATTCAATCGACTGTAATTTAAATTAACTGTTTGGTTCCTGTAATCTGGGAGGCTAGCTCAATGTTTGGAACTTCAGCAACCTACTTTGACTAACTTGTACTCTACCAATTACGAGTGGGAAATTACCACCGTAACTTGGTTTCCCAATTAAACATTGCGAAGCAGATGACTTATAAAGTAAACAAATAATTCCAAAAAATATCCAGTATCATGATCAACGTTAACAAGCAGCTCACAAAACTGTTTTTTTTTTCGCTGTCGTTTCAGTTGCCACGGCGGTTTGCAATGTTTGATATATGTAAACAATGATATCAGTTGACGAGGTTTTATTAAGCGTTCACTTCACAAACCACCACAAGCAATATCTTATATTTGCATGAGTAGTAGATATGATGTATCTTATTAGATCTGATGTACCTTGTAATCCATCAAATACTCTTGCTCAGTCGCGCGCAAACGGTCTAAACGCATCATGTGACCGAATATGCCCCAGCTAAAATAGGAAATACCCGGTTATACATGCCAAGTGATAACCACCAATTTTAAAACTTTACCTGCTGTACACTTAATTTCTACGTTGAAATTATATTCAAGAGGAGGGGCGTTTTGTTGTTGTCGAAGTAGGGACATGTTTGTTTGTTCATAATATTATACCAGAAAACACTGAAAAGTAAACAGTACGCTGCTCGTAAATATTTTTTCCTGCGCGTTGCAAAAATAATCGAGTTAGTCTTAGGTCACGGTTTTCCCCAAACCTCGCTCTCGGAAAACTGTTCGCATCTCGGAACAGCTTATGCCCTCGGACAAATATCCGAGCATATAGCGAGACAAAATAGAGGCTACTTAAATTTACAACGGGGATCAAAACGGGAAATGGCTATGAAACAGTCTTATTTTCCCGTCAAAAGTCACACAACAGAACGTTATAGAAAAAAAATCACACTAATTCGTAAGAGGTGCGTATTTCAACCGGCTTAGTGCTACAAGCTGGCTTGACAATGACATTGCATGATAATCGGTTGCTCTTTCAACCACACAGTTGTTGAAAAGGTCATCCAAAACTCAATTATTGAGCCAAAAAGAACTTGTGACTTTGTCGCTGGGTAAACTTAATTCGTGAGATAGATGATATCAGCGCCCACGCCTGTAGAAAGCATCATAAAATAAATCGCTATAATGTTCTTGCAATGTCGCTGGGGGAGATTTTCAGTTATGATTCTTACCATAATATTACTGACGGTCATCTCGTGTTCATCTCCACCAAGAAGCCATGGACACTCGTCCTTGTTGCAGATAAAAAAAGATTACTACCTCATCGGCCATGCCATAGATCGCCGGAAAGCATCAAGTGTGTTATTATGTGCACAATTCTGCCTGAAAAGACATCCTACTTGCCGCTCGTTAAATTACGGAAACAGCGAAGGAAACGTGGTTTGTGAATTGAACGATAAAGGCATAGAGACCCATGGTTGTTCCTCTCTCGTTCCACAGTCGGGATTCTTCTTTGGAGAACTGATTAATCTCACGGTATGATATCAAAGCTTGAATGTACTAAAGAAGGTTATGACATTTTGCACCAATGCTGTAATCAACGCGGTTTTTTCTTTTCATGTTGCAGGCGCACTACAGGCCTACAAAGGTTAGCGTTTCAAAGTGTTTGAAAGAAAAAACAGAAAATTGCTCGTGTTGCACTATTTTGTGTATAAGCGAGTGATTTAATCTATTACCCAGGATTGACCACAAATGAAAAATCAGTAATAAGAATTTTTCGCAAGTAATTGGACAGAAACTTAGAAGTCCATAAAACCTGGAATGACCAATAATTGGAGAGTTGTAAGCGAAAAGATTCTTTATGAAAATAAAGAGGATGAGCAGGTGAGAAATTTTGCAAATTCTACAGGTTTTTGCTAAATTTGAATCACCTATAGACAGATCGTAAAATTCACACTTGATAAACGTGATATCCTTCTAAAAAGCAGTTCAGGTTATGGGAGATCTATTTTGCGTAGATTTTTTTTTTTTTTTTTGCAGGGTGAACACAAAACAAACAACTCGACTACAAAGAGTAACATTAACCTCACAGGTAAAAAGTTGGGAGTTCATTAAATAGATAACAATCTTTTGGGCGGATATACTTATTCAGGGGTTGTCATATACGGAAGTGTTGTGTCAAAATTGATTTAGAACAAAGTGATAGGACCTTTACTGTTTGCAAATAAAACTAAGTACCATAAAAAAATACGATATCATCATGTGGGACATATTGTTCAGATCTACAGTCAATTTTTCCTAAGATCGTTCATCTGAAATAGTACCTTGTTAGTGCCTCGCTTGCCTAATGCGAAACATGTAGCATTTAATGTAGCTACATGTTGGAAGGGTTAAAAACATTTTTCAACATTCCACGACGTTTCTTGGCGTGTCACTATGTGGTAAAAGAAAACCGTAAGCAGGTTGCAGGTTATTTTCGCTGAAAGATGTGTATCGTACGCAGGGCTGAAGTATGTGTAGACTTGGTTTCACCTTATTTAACGACCTCAACAAAATGGCTAAGAGACTTTCTCAATCTGAAAGGAACTTATAGTGGCAGGAACCTCGATTAAACGTCTGTTTTTTTTTATGGCAGCACCTATTAAATTCACTTTCACGACTCTTGGTGCACTGGGTCCTACAGGTCCAAGACACACATACGGGTATCAAGGTACCACACTGGAGGGCAAGGTAACGTTGCAGAACGGCATCCAATTATGGAAAGTACCGTCTAGCGGAACCTACGTCATTGAGGCCTGGGGAGCATCTGGAGCTGATGGCCACGTAGGCAGTTACAATCAAGGGAACATAGGAGCGGGAGGAAAGGGCGCTTACATGAGAGGAACTTTTAACTTTACTCGCGGAACAACCCTTAAAATACTTGTAGGGCAAACAGGCAGTACAAGGAAAATAGGCTCACCTTTACCAGGGGGAGGGGGAGGGGGTTCTTTTATTACCACTCCATCAGATACTCCATTCATCATTGCTGGGGGTGGGGGCGGAGGGATCGCAAATTGGCGGATGAGATACGCAGGAGACCCCGGGCAAATCACTGGCACTGGCTCCCGACGCGGGGGTTCGGAAGGAACTGGGGGAAAATTATACGTGAAAAGATCCCATTCAATATCATTTGAAGGCGGGGCGGGAGGTGGCTTAAATGAAGATGGAGAATCGGGACGGTTTACTGAAGGGGGAAAGAGTTTTGTGATTGGCGGAGAAGGAGGAAGAGTGAATTTCGGAGGAGATGGGGGATTCGGGGGAGATGGAGGATTTGGAGGAGGTGGGGCGGCATATATGTATCCTGGCGCAGGTGGCGGGTACTCAGGAGGGGGCATCGTTAAGGATCGCAGTGATGCCATGGCTGGTGGGGGAGGTTCTTTTAACAACGGCGCCGACCAAGAGAAGAAAAAGGGAGTGAAACAAGGAGATGGGAAAGTTATCATCACTCTAATTCATATCGCAAACTAAAAGTGTTACCACTGGTATTAAACAGGTTCCATGTTAGTGGAAATCAATTAGATGTTTCCACTTACTGTCCGTTGAGTATTTTTAAAACTCTGCTAATTTCATAAGGAAACTAAATGATTGCCATATTTTGGGACCAAACGGGTGAATTCATGACAAGGTAGTTCTTAAAGCTGTTAAGGTTAACTTTGAACAAAATAATTTTCTTTGCTTTCAATCATAGTTATGTAAAATGACACAAGAAAAGGCAACGGCTTAAAGGTGTAAGCAGCTTGTCAATGATGATTTATGTTTAGTCATGATTAAACCACTACCGCTATCTATTCGATGTTTTAATTGGTGGTATTGGAACTGAATGCGAATAAACTTTTGTTGAAGCAGTATCAGTTCCAAAAGACAGGATGTATTCGATAAGTGGCGAGAGACGAGTCGATACCGTATATGATCTCATTCTTAATTGCCTACGGAAAATATTCGAGGACTTGGCTCACGAGCGCACTCTAGCTGGCTTTGAAAATTGCCCGAACGTTTCGGTTACGGACGAGTTACGTAAACTGTGCGAACATTGAGTTACAGACGAACTTAGTAATTCAAAGACGTCAGTATTTTTTGCTACCCTTTTCGTGACTGGTAGCGAATAATAACGAATGGCTGTGTCCTTCTTGGGTAAGCTTGATGCTTCGTCGTCTGTACGCTTAATTTTATTTTAGGAAGAACCTTCAAAAAATTTCTCGGGTTAGTCAGGTTGAATTTAATTGTTGGCGGAATGTCCGGTGGCGTTTGTGAACCAATGAAGCAATATCGCGCTAAGGCGCATTTTCAAAATTTGGAGGACTTTGAGTTAAACATTCCTGAGTCGGCGAAAAAAAAAAAAAATTCCCGGCGAGGGAGGTTTAAAACATTCGCAGTGGAGAGGATTTATTACATTGAGATAAGAACGTCACAAAACATTTCGTTTCACTGCACAAGTTATCGTGTTAACTGAAAATCATGCTGACAAATGTGATGTTACACTCAATGCAAGTATTATTCGGCCAGCGAAACAGATCTGTAAAAAACCACGAGACGAGGAAATTAACCGCGCAAAACTTATCATTCGACCAGCGATTAACAATTGTAAGCAAATCATAAATTGAAACATTCATTTGCAAGTAATGACTATGCCAAAAGTTTGGCAAAAATTCATAATTCTTATAGCAGGCTACTTGGTCGCCAGGCTTTTGACGGGGGAAGTCTGGGGTGATTTTGCAATAAACTCGAACATCTTATGCCCATCGTAAGGTATACCTTGCACCCAGTCTTTATGCTCCAACAGATCAAAAAGCTCCTGGAGCAGCAAGCTTCCTTTGAGTGTCATGAGCGAACCAAGCAAAATCAATTTCCGCTTGGCGCGAGTTACAGCTACGTTGACTCGGCGCCAATCCCTCAGCAGGTCTCCTACGTTGGAATGCTCATTACTACGAACTAATGACACAATGATGCAGGCCTTGTCTCGACCTTGATATTTATCTACGGTGTTGATCTCGATTTCGTTCTGTTTAGTGTCGGCGTCTCGACGAAAAACCTGCGTTATGAGCTTGAGCTGGTGCCTGTACGGTGAGATTATACCAAGTGACGCGGGCTGGAGGCCGGCTTTCAGGAGTGCGCAAGCTAGCTGGTGAACGATCGCAGCCTCTGTCTCATTGGACACTAAGTATTCTGAGCGAGACTCCGGCGCGGGGACACCGTCCGTGTCTAAGAACACCACTGGTCGACTGGGTAAGAGTGCGTCTATAATCCAGTTACCTACAAAAGCGGACAAAACTTAAAAATAAATTTTTCTCAACATCCTAGGGGAGAAAGAGCCAATTTACGAATCAATCCTTTAAACGTTTGGACGACGATTTCATAATACACCCGACCCACACTTATTGAGATATATAACGGTGCAAAGAGTTTCGTTTCGTACTTCATCATACTTTTAGTTTGCTGGTGACTATACTAGAGAGGTAACGCGTAAGATTGAAAAGCTGGAATTGACGGTGACTTCTCCTGATTTTTCTTTTAATTGTTCAGCACAGTACTTGAATTTTGTCGAAAATAAAAGACACAGCCCTCTGATGGCAGGACGGTGGCTGATAATCGCTAAAAATTACCGTGATAGTGCACGGAGACCTCTAAGATAATTTTTACGGCATACTCTGACTGAAAGAGAAAGATCTGCCTGCCGAAAAATAGGTTTATGGCCCCAATGGATGCCACTCTTAGAGCTAACATACACCTTGCCACATAAAAACAAAATTATCATCGACCAACGCAAATAACAGTAAAGTACTGATGTCGCATACCTTTGATGTCAGCAGTATTCTCCTTCACAAAACAAAAAAATTCGTCCCAGCTAGGCAGCTCCAAGACTGCCCGTGCCACGTCTTGTGTACCACATTTAAGCTTGTGTTCATAGATCAGTGTATTGGACAGGTCCATGATCTCTTCATTCATTCGATACTGATGCTCTAAGCTAACAACGGCGTGTGGGTGTCGTTCTGAAAGGCGTTTAAACAGACTTACGTCCATACCGCCCTCTCTGTAGATGGGGCAAAAACGTTTAGGTATATTTAGCCAGCAGGCTTATATTGCTTGGTAGGCTGTTATTCAAGCATGGACTTCTCAACCACCCCCTAGAGCTATGCAAGGAACTAAAACATTCCCCTAGAATTTGTAAATTTCTCATTGCAATAAAATCAAGAATGAAATAACGTTTCGAGCATAGTTCTCTTAAGGTTTGGCAACCCACATCATGTTTGCATGCTGATAAGTACATAGTCATATCAGTGTGTTAGAGTTTGCTTGATTCATTAGTAACTTATAACGACGCTATGCTTAATGGTAGAGCTTGCTTAGCACCGTGGTACCTTGATACGATTCCACGTATTTATCCGAGTTTAACTGCTACGTTAGTGCAACCCCAAGTTTGTCTAGTAGAGAGAGAGAGAGCTAGGGTTAGAGAGCTATCTTGGGTTAGCGCAACCCTAGATTTTGGTAGTTTGCACAGGTACGACCCCAGGAGTGCATCAAGGAGAGGTGCCAATCACATCTCTGGGACTCATATGTTTAGAGTCTAGTATCCTTAAGAATGAAGCCTATAGCCCGTAAAGAGTCTATGGATCCATCGTCTTTCGCTGTAAAAGAAACACGGTCCTAATTTTTCATAGCAAATGGACATATATTAACAACTTTATGTAATATACGAAAAACGAGAAGGAAAGTTTAACATACCTAGCTTCTACACTCTGCACCAAGGGTGGCAGCTGATAATGATCGCCCACTAAGATAAAGACGCGAGCATGCCTTAGAGGACCAATACAAACGGGTTGGGTAATCTGTGAAGCCTCGTCCACTATACAGTAATCAAAGGAACGCTGAGAGAACAAGGCGTGTTTTACACCCAAACAGGTGGTCGCGACTACGGACTGAAAAAAAAAGGGACAAAAATTGGCTTATATCATCCAAAATAGGGCACTTCTCTAAACGGAACCAAAGTAAACACAACGCCCAATCTGAAAAAGGTAAATATGAACAGGGGCCAAATAGTTACAAACTGCCTAATGTGCAGGAAAACAAGCGCAACCACGTCGAAATTGGTTTTAGTTTTGCTTCTGATTGGTTGTGAGGTTAGCGCAAGTTTCAAGACCAAGCAGAGATTGTAGTTGCGCAAAACCAATGCAAGCCCAGATTACTATGGACATGCACTGATGAAAATATGTCTAAATCGTTGATGATATTTCTTCGCCAAATCAAAGCTACCTGGATAAAAATTTTATGCGTTGAGGCGAATTAGTATGCATTTCTTTGGTTGAAAAATATTTGATGCAGAACCTAACAAACACTTTCAACCAGAAGTAAATTTTGAACTGAAGATTTTTTCTAGCGGGAGAGGGGGGCGGGGGGTGAGTGACGAGAGATTCTTATTAGATATGGGGGTCTATTGGAGCGTTTACGGTAACTGTTGTACGCTCAGTTTTTTCGGCTGTTGAACAGTGATATTACCTTGGACTCGTACAACTGCCTTAGTTCATCAACAGTTTTGATGCCAGCAGCTGCCCGGTGCGCGCTGTATGACCGAATTTCGGGAAGAATTTTATGAACCTGGCCAAGACGAAGAAAATCCATATTGGCCTGAAAGGAAAGCCATGGAAAAGAAGAATCAGAGTTTAGATCGAACTCTTTATAACTACAAACCTTTGATGAGTTTACTCTCCCTCTTGGGTTTGATATATTTCCTTGCAAATGTATAGGGAAAATTTGGTCTGACATCAAAGATAATACCTTCACCTGATCAGTAATTTATCTATTCTCATCACTTCTTTCTGAACAATGTTATGAAATGCTGAAGAGTGAACAAACACCGGAATTTGCCTCGTGATTAAAAAAGTAGTAAACACGATACAAAAATTTCTGGCTTACATAAACACACCACTTAAATGTTTTTTAACTGGTGAGGCTTGTGCGGCTTGATAGAGTCTGGATAATACTTAGTCTACTCTGAAGACCACGTAACAAACTTCTCTCTCAGTAATCTGGCATCAAATACTCGAAGTAAACAACGAAACACAACAAGCGCAAAAGAGAGAATCCCCCAGAAAGAATACTCTTAAACACTATTTATCATAATTAGACTACTTCGTATGGTTACAAAAATGTATTATTATTCAAAAACAGCAGACCTTTTCAGAAATGCCCAAGCCTTTGTTAAAACGAGGGTAGGTGTGGAACTTAAAATATAAAAAACAACTTTTCACAAACACACAAAGACATTTCACTGGCAAGGTTTTATAACTGCGCTCATTCTGTAAGTGTGAGTTTTACTCTTACTTCTGAAAATTTAGGCTAGCTAGCCTCAGTAAATCAAGTGAAGTAAAGTAAACAAGACCATAGACGAACCTCTTTAAGCTTGAGCAAAATGTTGTCCACAGCAGTATGGGTATAGCTAGTGAGTAGAACTGATTTACCACTTGCCACCAGCACACGAACCAGGCAGGAGATGGTTGTTGTCTTCCCTGTTCCTGGCATACCTAAGATCAGCGCATAGTGATGGGCTGCAAGGGCTTTAGATACCGCCTTCCGCTGCCCCGAGTTCAGCTCCTGTAGGATAGACTCCACAGCTGGGTCAGGTAAGGACTTCTGGCTTTTGCTGCCTTGAGACCTGTGCAAGAGAAGCTTCAACTCACCCTCCGTCGATAGTTGAATTAATGTGATATAGTGTGTTCCAGCCACAGAATGCGCAGTAGGACGAAAATGGCAGTGACACTACTCTTTTCTACCTCAAACTTATGAAAAAAGTGCATCACCACGGTAGTAGCCATGGACTGCATCTTCTTTCATCAGCTACTTCTTCATTTGGTGAAGAAGACGTAGCTCATATTGTCTGTACCTCTGTGAGTATTCTCTGATTTAACTAAACAGTTTTATCCCATCACTACTTTGTCTCCACAGTCACATTCCAAAAAGTCTGCAAAACCGGGTCAATATTGCATTCTTCAGGCGAGTGGATTTAAAAGCACGGCAAGCGCAAGGAGCGAGACATACACAAAGAAAGGAAAGCGAAAAAATAATATACTGATCGTAACATTTTTTTGGCGCCCCCTTCCTCGCACTTGTCCCTTCCCTTGCATTCTCCTCGCGTTTGCCTCCGCTCGCCTGGAGAAAGTTATCATACATGTTAAAGAATAAAAGTATTAATAAGCGGACCGTACGCAGCGCGGGAAAACGTGAGTAACCAAGATACGAATGATTTCAGTTTGCTTTGCATCCAATTGGTTAGAGGGTTGCGATTTCTTTCCCAATTACAAGGCGGGATAGAGAGAAGCCAACCCTATGGATTACTTTTGACATTCAAATTTATTTTCTTTTTTAAAAGAGAACACTTACGGTGATAGCTGAGAGAAGAACTGAGCGATATCTGATGTCTGACTGGACATGGTAACTGTATCATTCCGTCTTTTCCTTGAAAACGCCGGTGGTTCCAAGTCTACGATTTGGCGACGCAGGTGAGCGTCTCTGTCTGAGTCTCCTTTGAACAGTTTTGCCATGTTGGACCACAGAATTGTTTGAGTGCTATACTCCTCGTCTTTGTCAAGGCGATAGAGTTTTGAGCTTGTTTCTTTAGTCTTTGTACCATAACTGCGGGTACAAGTTGTAAACTCATCAGCAATTGAGTGTTAACATTTCCCATTTAAGTTTAAAAGAAAAAATGTATTGTGAACGACTTCAATTGACTCTGTTATTCACCCTCACCACTGAACAATTCCCATTGATCTTACATTAGACAAACGAAGAAATAAACCCGGAGTATTCACACACAACAAAAAACCCGTAATGATCTCAAAATCTGAACCAAATAAACTGCTGTTTCTGGCATAAACTTAACCTTAAGGGGTTCGTATTTACATCTAAGCTCTTTTAATTGCTCTATCGTGAAAACTAACTTGAGTTTTTTACCTTTTCGTCAAATCTCTGTCTAGTAAGACAACAACTTCGTTTTTCTTCACTTCATGGATGTACCCTACGTAGAATGAACCATAAAATGCTGTAAGTTTCAGGAATTAACAAAACTTCGTTTACGTAAAACTTCATATTTTCGACAAGTTTGAAACATAATCAGATGCTTCTGACGTTGAGTTCTGAAAGTAAAACAGCTCAATGTTGTTTCTGCGCCATAATAATCTAATGACAACGACAAATGGGTAGCATAATCTCGCTTTGCTAAAAAATCTGATGTAGCTGTTTGTTCACGAAACTTCCTTGTCGAATTAAAAATTTTCCACGTGTTGTCAAGGGTTGATCGCATAAATTATGAGGGTTTTCAATTTGTGCAAACCTACCCGCTGCGACTGCTATGGCTGTACCATTCTCCTCACTTAAAATCACACGGTCACCCGCCATAATTGGCACATTCTGTAATGACATCACGCTAGGATGGTCTGCACAGCGCTCGAAGTTGTGTCTGTAATAATGACTGCCCCCTTGTACCATGTCGGGACCACATGACTTCAGAACCATGCCGCTAAAACAACGACCAAGATTTTCCCTTTCGCTTCCGTCCAAACACCAAATCTCGTTACGGTTTCTTTTCTGTTCCATCTCCTTGCCTTCCAGACAAACCAATTTATACCAGTCTCTGAAGTAGCGTACGTAGGTTCTGGACATGTGGTCGGTCATCTCGTTAAATAATGATCCCAGACCACTTGTCACACCGTCTCCTTGCTCGGCTGCTTTGTGAAAAGTGGTACAGTTTTGAACCTGAGGACATCGCTTGCAGGTATTGTGATCTTTCAACATTGCTTAGAAAAAAAATAGGAAATTTATGTCACTAAGACAAAATAAAAAAAAAAAAAGAAGGTTAAGAAGGTACTCGAGCCTAATGGCCCCCCAGCCTTAGCTTATCCTTGTTTCCATGTAGCTTGAAGAGACTAGGAGTATTACCATTCCCCCTGGATGGGAAGCTAGGTAATCGCAAGGTTACCCCCCAGCATTTCATCAGACTTCCCTGACAATGCGCCGGTACCCATTTGTACTCCAGGGGGGAGAAAGGCACTGTGAGAGTAAAGTGTCTTGCCCAAGAACACAACATCGATCCAGCCAGGTCTCGAACCCAGACCTCTCGACCCGGAGATCAGAGGACTGACCATAAGGCCCCTCGGTCTCCGACAATTTCAACAAACGACAAATTTGTACTCGTTAGCTTGACAGCAGTTTATGAATATGTTATTGACCAAAGTTCTCACGGAAGCTTATTCCATTGGCTGCGTTTGTTGCTCAGTGAGCAATAAACGTACAGATAGTGAGCTTTATTTCTACCAACCTGGCATAGATCCTGTAGCTCCAGCCCTGTTCAGTGTCAAGTAGCGTGCGACTTCATTCCTTTTCATGATAAGGGCTCTCTTCTCGTGAAGGAAACCCGGAACACTAAGCATATGAGCTGTCTTCATGTAAAACAGTAACCCAGAGTCAACTGCTTGAGAATATCGATCAGACATGAGTAAGGTGTAAAGAATCACCTGTGCTCGATGCTCGATTGATCCTGGTGATGAAAATGATAAGGAAATAACGAATAAATAAAATAAATAAATAAATAAATATCAGCTACAACTTACTGGACAGGATTTACATTTGGCTGAGATCTAACCCCTGTGACTCTCAAGATATTATCTGCGATTCACCCTTGAGCGCGCTACACATTTCCCTCGCGATTATGACCACTTTAATATCTAAGAACGAGCTTCAGGCTCTTTTATTATACAGGATGCTTTCTAGGTGCATACAAGACGCAAATGAACCTGGGATTTTGCCGAAATCGCGACAACCCTCTTTAGAGCCAAGAGGTTAACGTAATTTCCTGGCGTGTTAACCCCGCAAGGGGTACATTATGATAGTTTGATTTAAGAGTGCCGCTGACATACTGGAATCCTATACTTAACTTCTGCACATCTGCGACCTTTATAATGGGCAGGCGGTATGGTTACAAGTTGTGAGACCCAGGTTGTCTTATAGAGTTATAAAAAACCATACACGTCCGTAAGTCATGTTGTTTTTCGATAAAGTTCGAAACAAAAAAGTAAATCAACTTGATGTCTGTAGTCAAATAAGCCCCGTATTTGACAGTTTCGAGTTTTTCTTTAAGCTCCTTCTATTCTTTTTTACAAATATCTATGATAGATTTTTTCCCTTTTTTTTCAAATTTCGCATGAAAGCGATTGTTTTCTTGTGTTTTCCTTTAACATTTTGGGCGCGAAATTAGGGCGCGGCAGGCCAGAACTGATTCCCTTGCGCAAGCCAGGGGTTTGTCCGATGTGTTGCCTTCACCCCAAACCAAGTATAAAAACATTTGGCAACACTTTTATGAATAGTTGTTTTGTGTTTTTCTGTTTGTTTGTTGTTTATTGTTTTTTTTTTTCAAACTCACCTAGTTTGGTGAACATTTTACCAGTCTTCAGTTCCAATGGCATCACTTTAGTCTGCACTTGATTTCCTGTATCAGGCCTGTGCCGTTTGATTTTAGGTCTTCGATCAATTTTAACCTCAACAGTGGCATCCACTTTACCTAAAAACAAACCATTCTATTTATGCAGTTCTCCTTGAAGGATTTTTGTGCTAAAAAAAGTAACATAAGATCAAAGAAAATATTTTATTTAATTTATTGGATCGTAAAAAGAATGAAAGAAACTGTACTTAATCGTGGTTAAAATTGTGGTAACTTATTTAAATTTTCAAAAGAAACGCTTACACAAGTGGTTTATAAGGAACATTGTGGTACAAAAAGACTTAAGAAATAGGCCATTTCTGGGTTAAAAAATCCGTCACTTCCACAAAAAGGCCAAACTAAAAAAACAATCTGTAAAAATGAGCGTATTTGCTCAAGAATATAAAAGTACATTCTTGTTAAAAGTATGAAAAATCTGTTGGAATACACTATTCCAATTACGAAACGTAAAAATGCATAACGAAAAGCAAAGAGAAAGACTGCAAAGAAGAACAAGAAGAAGAAAATGAAGAAAGAGGATAAAATACCAACCTTTAAGTCCATATCGTGGTGACCAGATATTTTCTTCTATGTCCTTCAATGCTGATACACAGATACTTGGTTGTTCAGTCTCATGAGGGTACGCAGGGGTCTTAAAATCCATTGCCCCTAGATCAGGTTGGGGAAAAGGAACCACGAATTTCTTAGCCCAGTCACAGAGATGTGGAATATGTTCCTTTAGTTTCTCCAAGGCCCAACTCTCTGTCTGTCCCAAGCTGTAGAAGTCATCCAGGTAAGAAAGCTTTTGAAGAAGGCTTCTTGCTCTTGTTAACAGAGGATCTGGAGAAAATTCTTCAAAGAAACAAAGTGGCATTATGACAGACTGAAAACTAGAAAATCAATGGTATGAACGTGAAGCTTACGGTAAAACACTGGGAGACAAAAAAATTATAAAAGACAATAAGAAGCAAAAAAATAATTACAAAAGAAAAAGAATTGCTAAAACCTACTAACAGTCAATACTAAACTCAGTTACCTCCTCAAAAATTCGTTCTTTCATTTGCATTTAATAGACGAATTGATCCAGTAGTCGAAGCGCTTTGACAACCGTTACACTTTAAAGTGACACCCGTGACAGGTGTTCCAGGTTAATGGATCAATTGAGAACACTGTTATTGAAAAACCTTCACAATGCTTATTAGGCACCAACGACTGTGAAATTCTACAGCTTCCACCGAGAATTCTCAAGCTTCATTTTCATGGGATGAGAAATGATCTCATTTCTCTTATTTATTCACAAAATTTTCCTGTTTCTATATTTTTCGAAATGAACACCCAAACGCTGCAACTTACAGATACTCTAAGGATTCCATAATGTACAATAGTTTTGTGGTGAAAAAATTGAGACAAATGAAAAGACAATCACGTGTCCATCTTCGCGCAATATCTTCCCACTGAAATCTGAGCACAAAATTCAGCTGTACTAACCCTTAGACTCCATGGCCAGATCAAACAGATCATGAAGAAGTGTTCCAATCAACATTGCCTCACTTTGGCTTTCAGTGCGGAATTGCTCATTAAGTATGCCTTGCCGTAAACACTTAGTCGCCATGGAAACAGTAGTTCCAGATACTAAAGTATCAGGGTGGATGACAAGATAGTGTTCAGTTGAGTTATCCAGTATACATGTCGCCGATGATGAGTCAAAAAATCCTGTCAAAGAGAAAATTACATGCAAAATTATGTGGTGTGGATTATCCAGCAAACAGGTAATGAGAAAATTCAAACTTATCAGGTAGAAGTTAACTTGATCTAACATCAAATTATTGTAACTAATTTAAAAGAAAATGTGAAGCAGCTAAAGGGGAGAATCAACAATTAAAATAAATGGAGTTAACTGGACTTAGTTTTGGAAACTAATTGGGACAAGTTTGTGCTAACTTTTTGCCATTAATTGTTTACCAAGTCTGGTAATGAAAAATAAAAAATAAATATTTACACACCTGTAATGTGTACAATGTCACCAGGTTCAACTTCACTCATCTCCCAGTCTTCCCTTAAACTACAGAACTTTTCTTGACTCAACGTTTCATCAAATAAACGAAGAACCTTCTCTGGTAATTGTCTACCATACTGTGCCTCAACTTCTTGGCCTTGCAGTTCTCTGCGAGACACCTCCAGCACTAAGAAGCGACTATAGCCATTTGTACCAGATGAGGAGTGACAGCCAATATGAGTAATGTTGCATTTATCCTGGAGATCCTTAGATATTGTATTAGCCTGCTCTGTGTTTCTGATAGGAGAGAAGAGTGCTTTACATGAACTGCTGTTGCTGAAAATGAAACAAAGATAGTAAGTTATAATTCTCTTATATCATAAAGGATGGGATTTGAAGTAGTTTCATGAGAATACATTCAGAAATATTATCATGGTTCATAGAACTTCATAGAAACCTAATTCAAGGACTTTTCAAAGACTATTTAAGGATAAAAAAAATAGATTTCAAGGACCAAGTTTAAGTCAAGATATTGTTACTTTTCCTCATCTTTTTCATACTTAAATTTAAAATACAGAGACGCTAATAATGTATAATGTTCTCAAAATTCATAGCTACATATTTCAAAAGGCTATTGGAGCTTCCAACTTTCCATTTAGTTTGCCCTTAATGTCTTACAGTTGAAGAGTCTTTGCTTTGGCTTCCTTTCTGAGAGCATTGGACTTCACCCATTTTCATCAATTAACCATTTATCATTGAATGCACATTTCCCCATCACTCATTTGACTTGCAAATGAAGGTAGCCTCAGACAACAGCTACATAACTACTCTGTCAACAAAGCTGTCTTTTGGAGCAAAAGTACACATAGACAACTGTGAGGGCTGGTACATGAAGTTATGGTAAAGATCAAATTTTGTTTTATGTATCCGTTTGTGTTTAATAACAACATTTACTTAGTTGTTCTCATATTTTGGAAGTTGCATGTTCACAGAAAAATTTCCTCAACAAAATCATTCAATTGACCAGAAAAGTGAAGAGGTGTACACAAAATCATATGTTTCAGAAACTTCTCAAGACCCAATCAAGAAATCAAATACTTTTCAAGAATCTTACCAAATTCAAGGACTTTTCAAGATGATTGCTAAAATTCAAGACCTTTTCAAGATTGTACAATCCATGACTCAAGCTTAACGCATGCCCACCTAAGATTAAAATGATGTTCTCTACATTTCTTCATTACCCACTACAAGTACAATGACCTGCTTTTACCATTCCATATATATTTGATGACATTTATGAAATAAGCTGGCGATATTCTCAAAATATGGCGGCTTCATCTCACCAGGTGAAAGTCTAGTACTTCCTGGTAAAATGTGTGGCTGTCATCTGTCAAGTCTCAAAACAACAAAAGCTTGTAAAGAGTGATAAATTACTGCCTAGGGGCACTCAATAAGAGAGAAGAAGCTATGGTGGTAATGGGAAAGGGAAATATTCCCACTTCCTCTGGACCATTTCTATCAAAATCAAACTCATTGCTTGAAAAGCTATTAATAATTTGGAAATTTAACTTGCACTTCCTAGTGAGATATCAGAAATGCAGGTTGATATAAACTTAATGTTTGGTGGTAAGGGGAACAGTTAGTTCTATTTTCTCAAACCTCAAGAGTCTCTATTTTTCTAGAAAAAAGATATTGTGAAATTGATCAGGAAGTTCTTATCTTACTGTACCCAGGTTAGGATGTAAAATACCAGGCCAGGTCATCACTAATCAGCTGATGACAATCTCATTTGGAGCAAAAAAAAAAACAAACAAAAAACAGGAGTTTCATAACACTACAAATAACTTTAGTTTTAATTGAGAAGATAAAGAATG